AAGGTCCCGAAGTTATCCGCGTTGGACCCACCTCCGATGGGCCTCCCAGGAGCCCACGAAAGTGGCAGCAGTTGCACAGATCGCAAGCCCCCCAGGGGGCAGCGAGGTCCCGAGGTGATCCGCGTGGGACCAACCTCCGCTGGGCCTCCCAGGAGCCCACGAAAATGGCGACAGTTGCGCAGATCGCAAGCCCCCCAGGGGGCGGCGAGGTCCCGAGGTGATCCGCGTGGGACGTACCTCCGCTGGGCCTCCCAGGAGCCCACGAAAGTGGCGACAGTTTCTCAGATCGCAACCCCCAGGGCACCGCGAAGTCTCGAGGTGATCCGCGTGGGACCCACCTCTGCTGGGCCTCCCAGGAGCCCACGAAAGTGGCGACAGTTGCACAAATCGCAGCCCACAGGGCACCGCGAGGTCCCGATGTGATCCGCGTGGGACGTACCTCTGCTGGGCCTCCCACGAAAGTAGCGACAGTTGCGCAGATCGCAGCCCCCAGGGCACCGCGAGGTCCCGAGGTGATCCGCGTGGAACGTACCTCCGCTGGGCCTCCCAGGAGCCCACGAAAATGGCGACAGTTGCGCGGATCGCAGCCCTCAGGGCACCACGAAGTCTCGAGGTGGTCCGCGTGGGACGTACCTCCGCTGGGCCTCCCAGGAGCCCACGAAAGTGGCGACAGTTGCGCAGATCGCAGCCCCCAGGACACCGCGAGGTCTCGAGGTGATCCGCGTGGGACGTACCTCCGCTGGGCCTCCCAGGAGCCCACGACAGTGGCGACAGTTGCGCAGATCGCAGCCCCCCAGGGCGCCGCGAGGTCTCGAGGTGGTCCGCGTGGGACGTACCTCCGCTGGGCCTCCCAGGAACCCACGAAAATGGCGACAGTTGCGCAGATCGCAGCCCCCAGGACACCGCGAGGTCCCGATGTGATCCGCGTGGGACGTACCTCCGCTGGGCCTCCCAGGAGCCCACGAAAGTGGCGACAGTTGCGTAGATCGCAGCCCCCAGGGCACCACGAGGTCCAGAGGTGGCACCGCGAGGTCCCGAGGTGATCCGCGTGGGACGTACCCCCGCTGGGCCTCCCAGGAGCGACAGTTGCGCAGGTCGCAGCCCCCAGGTCACCGCGAGGTCCCGATGTGATCCGCGTGGGACGTACCTCCGCTGGGCCTCCCAGGAGCCCACGAAAGTGGCGACAGTTGCGCAGATCGCAGCCCGACACAGGAGAGGAGGAGGGGAGGAGGGGGGAGGAGAAGAAGGAGGCTGGGGCGACCACACTGCTCTATTCAAAACGAGTACCCAACCATAGGAGGGTTGGGAAAAAACAAGACGGCCCCAAGAGGGACCGAAGAGGCCTCCAAGAGGCCTTGAAGGCGCCCAAGATGTCCTCCAAGACGGCCCCCTGGAGCACCCCAAGAGGGCCCCAAGTCGGCCCAGAGAGGCCCCCCAAACGGCTTCCGACAGTGTCAGACGGGCCAGGAGCCCACCAAAATGGCGCTTCCAAAAAGGCAAGGGGCGGCGGTGATTCGCCGTAGGCGTCTTCGATCCGCCGCCCCATGTTGATTCATCACAGGGGTGCCCGGCATCCTGAATTCTTTCGCTTTTGGTTTTGGTTCTTTTCCCAAAGGAACTCCCCCTGGGATTTCGGCCCTGCCCGCCGGGGTCCCGGAATGGCCCGGAAAGGGTGGTTCCAAAAGTTGTTCCTGCTCCAGATGGCTCCAAGATGGCTTCCAAGATGGCCAAGATGGCCCAAAATGGCCTCCAGGCCTCCAGGTTCGCCCAAGATGGTCCAAGATGTCCTCCAAGACGGCCCCCTGGAGCACCCCAAGAGGGCCCCAAGTCGGCCCAGAGAGGCCCCCCAAACGGCTTCCGACAGTGTCAGACGGGCCAGGAGCCCACCAAAATGGCCGAAGTTGGCTCGAAGCTGGCCCAAGACGGCCCAAGAGGCCTCCAAGAAGGCCTCCAGAAAGGCCAGAGAAGGCCAAAAACATTGATTTCCCCATAGGTTTTTGAAGGATTTTGACATTTGCTTCTTTTCGGCCATCCGAAGGCCCGATACGGCCCAAGAGGCCCCCAGGATCGCCCCAAGATCGCCCACGAGGGCTCCAAGATGGCCCCAGAACGGCCCAAGAGGCCCCCATCACAGCCCCAAGAGGCCCCCATAAGACGGCCCAGGAGGCTTGTAAGACGCCCAAGATGGCCTCCTAGACGGCCCTGAAGATGGCCCAAAATAGCCCCCAGGCCTCCAGGTTCGCCCGTCCAAGATGGTCTCCAAGACGGCCCAGGAGAGTCCAAGATGCCTCCAAGTTCGCACAAGAAACCTCTCGGACGGCCCAAGACGGCCCCAGAGGCCTCCAAGAGGCCTCCAAGACGGCCCAAGAGGCCTCCAAGAGGTCCTCCACGAGAGCCCGAAGAGGTCAAAATCAATGTTTTCCTCAGGTGTTTGAAGGATTTTGGTTTTTGTTCTTTTCGAGCCTTCCGACGGCTCACGACGGCCCAAGGAGCCCGAAAGATCGCCCCCAGAGCGCCCAAGAGGCCTCCAAGACGGCCCTATGACGGCCCAAGAGGCCCCCAAAACGGCCCCAAGAGGGCGCCAAGACGGCTCCAGAGGCCTCCAAGACGCCCAAGACGGTCTCCAAGACGGCCAAGAAGATGGCCTCCAAGATGCTTCCAACACGGTCAAGATGAGCTTCAAGACGGCCAAGATGGCCGCTAAGACGGCCAAGATGGCCCACAATGGCCTCCAGGCCTCCAGGTTCGCCCAAGATGGTCCAAGATGGTCTCCAAGACGGCCCAGGCGAGTCCAAGATGCCTCCAAGTTTGCACAAGAAACCTCTCAGACGGCCCAAGACGGCCCAAGAGGCCTCCAAGAGGCCTCCAAGACGGCCCAAGAGGCCTCCACGAGGTCATCCACAAGAGCCCGAAGAGGTCAAAGTCAATGTTTTCCTCAGGACGGCCCTATGACGGCCCAAGAGGCCCCCAAGACGGCCCCAAGAGGGCGCCAAGACGGCTCCAGAGGCCTCCAAGACGCCCAAGGCCAAGATGGCCTCCAAGATGCTTCCAACACGGTCAAGATGAGCTTCAAGACGGCCAAGACGGCCGCTAAGACGGCCAAGATGGCCCAAGATGAGCCCGAGAGGTTCCAAGATTGCCCCAGAGGAGCCCAAGAGGTGCTCCAGGAAGGCCCGAGGGAGCCGAAATCTTAAATGTTCCTTGTTCCTCGGTTTTGGTGTTCCGACCGCCTCAAACGGCCCAAGGAGTCCCCAAACGAGTCCCAGAGGCCTCCCAGATGGCTCCAGAAAGGCCCAAGAGGCCTTCAAGCCAGCCCCTAAGAGGGCCCCAAGACGGCCCAAGAGGTCTCAAAAACGGGCAATACAATCTCCAAGATACCTCAAGACTGCCAAGACGACCTCCAAGACAACCAAGATGGCATCCAAGACGGCAGATATATCCCCAAGAGCCGACGGTGGCCCAAGAGGCGCCCGAGATGCCTCCAAGACAGCCCAAGATGCCTCCAAGACGCCCTCCAGGAAGGCCCGAAGAAGCCAAAATCCATGATTTTCGCATTTGCTTCATTTCGGCTTTCCGACGATCCAAGACGGCCCAAGAGGACCCAAAGATCGCCCCAAGATCGCCCAAGAGGCCCCAAGATGGCCCCATGACGGCCAAGACGGCCCCAATAAGACCCTAAATCTGCCCAAGAGGCCCTCAAGACGCCCAAGATGGCCTCCAAGACAGCCAAGATGGCCCCCAAGATGCCTCCAAGAAGGCCAAGAAGGCCTCCAAGACGGCGAAGATGGCCCCAAGATGCACCCAAGACAGCCCCAGTGGCCTGAAGATGGCCGTAGACTGCCCAAAAGGCCCGCCAGAGGCCTCCAAGACGGCCCAAGACCCCTCCAAGACGTCCTCCAGGAGGCCCGAAAGATCGTAAACCACCTGGTCCGATAGCTCGCCCGACTCTGCGTTCCCCGAAGGCTTTCGAAACCCACTCGGGGAACGCGTGGCCCAATAGCTTGGCCAAGCTCAAGCACAACTTTCGGCCACGCAGGCGCTTCCAAAAAGGCAGGGGGCGGCGGTGATTCGCCGTAGGCGTCTTCGATAACGCCAACGTTTCAATATGCGCTGATGACTCTTATCCGCCCCCGCATGCTGTTCCCAGATGCGCCGAGGCAGCGCCGAGACGCACCGACGCGACTCTGCTATATCCCATGCTGATAGAGACGGGGCGGGCGGCAGGGAGCGAAGCCCTCACGCATACACATGTGCACCGATCTGGGGCCCAGGGCCGGCCTGGCCAGGGTCGGTGCAGGTGCCTAGCCGGTGCCCCCCGACCCCTGCCCCCTCCTGCGCAGCAGGGCCGTGCGGGCGGCGGAGGCGGCCGGCGGCGGCGGGGCCCCGCCAGCGCGGAGCCAGTCTCCGCATACCCGGTGGTGAACTGCACCAGGTGCTCGGGCGCGCCAACCGCCTGCTTCGGGCGGCGGCGGGCGGCGGCGGGCCGTCGGTCTCGAGGCGCGGCGGCGGGGCAGCCCGGCGGGCAGTGGGCGGCGGCGGGCGGCGGGCGGCGGGCTGCTGTCGCGGGGACGGGAGCGCCACGTTGGCGGGAAGGGGAAGGAGGAGGAGGAGGAGGAGGAGGAGGAGGAGGAGGAGGAGGAGGAGGAGGAGGAGGAGGAGGAGGAGAGGAGAGGGGGAGAGGAGGAGAGGAGGAGGAGGAGGAGAGGGGAAGGAGGAGAGGAGGAGGAGGAGGAGGAGGAGGAGGAGAGGGAGGAGGAGGAGGAGGAGGAGGAGGAGGCGGGAGGACGGAGGACGGAGGAGGAGGAGGAGGAGGAGGAGGAGGAGGAGGAGGAGGAGGCACAGGGAAGCACAGGGAGGCAGGGAGGCAGGCAGGCAGGGAGAGACGGAGGGAGGCAGGCAGGTAGGGAGGGAGAGATTCAAGGAGGCAGGAAGGCAGGCAGGCAGGGAGTCAGGCAGGGCACGTGGGAAAGAGGGCATGGTGGTGGTGGTGGCCGTGATGGTGGTGGTGGTGGTGGTGGTGGTGGTGATGGTGATGGAGATTGAGAAGGATATGCTTATGCTGATGCTGATGCTGATGCTGATGGTGATGGTGATGGTCATGGTGATGGTGATGGTCATGGTCATGGTCATGGTCATGGTCATGGTGATGGTGATGGTGATGGTGATGGTGATGGTGATGGTGATGGTGATGGTGATGGTGATGGTGATGGTGATGGTGATGGTGATGGTGATGGTGATGGTGATGGTGATGGTGATGGTGATGGTGATGGTGATGGTGATGTGATGGTGATGGTGATGGTGATGGTGATGGTGATTGAGAGGGAGATGGTGATGGTGATGGTGGTGGTGATGGTGATGGTGATGGTGATGGTGATGGTGATGGTGATGGTGATGGTGATGGTGATGGTGATGGTGATGGTGATGGTGATGGTGGTGGTGATGGTGATGGTGATGGTGATGGTGATGGAGATGGAGATGGAGATTGAGAGGGAGATGGTGATGGTGATGGTGGTGGTGATGGTGATGGTGATGGTGGTGGTGATGGTGATGGTGATGGTGATGGTGATGGTGATGGTGATGGTGATGGTGATGGTGATGGTGATGGTGATGGTGATGGTGATGGTGATGGTGATGGTGATGGTGATGGTGATGCCCTGCGCTTTGGGTCGGTTAGTCTAGGCTCGCTGGGCCTGCTCAACCATGAGAGAAGAAAAACACGACGGGGCTCCCCCTTCGTTTGGACTCTGAAACGGAGTCCGCGGCATCTGGAACCGAGACGGAGGCGGGAGCCTCTTGCCTCGGGCACGGGACGAGGCACTATCTAAATAGTTGCCATGCTGGATGGGACGAGAGGCTAACCTAACTCGAAACCAAATCCGAAAGGGTCAAAGTCGGCCCCATCTTCGAGCTCGACCTCGACCCCCATCGCCTCCTCCCAGTCGGGAGGGGGAGGGGGAGATGGAGGAGGCGGGAGAGGGCCGAAGGCAAGGGGAGCGAGACGAGCGAGTTGGGCTTCCGAGAACCCCGCAGACCGATGGGGAAGGGGTCTCGTCACAGCTCGCTTCTCTAAAATTCGAACAATCGTTCGATGCATTAAAGTGGTCAGAGTAGAACGGTCCCTGGCTTTCTGAATTACAGAGGTCGGGAGGGGGCGTGACTCGGCGGCATCTGCGGCAAGCACATCAGCTTTTTTATTCAACTCCTCTGCGAGCGGATGCACCGCGCCGCGGCCCACACCGTCCTCACCCTGGTGCGAGTACACGTGCTCGATGTAGAACATCTCGGGCTTGGCGTCGATCGCGATCTTGATCTGGGCCCAGATGTCGTTCAAGCTTCCTCCAGGCGGATCTCCTCCTTGTAGTAGATTGTTAAGTCTCGAACACATTGTTGATTGTCGCAGTAGATCCACATAGGCTCCTCCGCAACGCGTACAACGTGAAGTAAGGCTCGGGCTTCAGCTCGTGCACTATTTTGTCGTGGTCCGCATAGCTTCGATGACTAGTTTAGGCGGTGGTGTGGCGCCACATCTACAGCGTATCCAGCTCGAGCTAGCCACTGATGTCGAGGGAAACGGCAGGCGCCATCCGTAGCTACGGCCATCCACCGCTTGTTCTCGTCGTCGGTGATGTAGTTGACCATGTCCTCAGCGGGATCGTCATCCACTTGCTGCGGGGGTCGGTGCTGCGAGGGCTCAGGTAGGGCAGCGAGTTCGTTGTAGAGTTCGACCGTCTCCTCATCGATGTACGTGAGACCACAGTGACGTGTGGAAGGCGGCCACTGATGACGTTCTTGAGCTTGCGGATGTTGGAGTAGTGGTGCGCGTTCTTCATGCCAATACGGGCATTCCCACAGGATGTGTTCTTGCGTTTCCTGTTCTCTGTCACAGAACCTGCACACCGTTGAAGGGTCTTCTGAAATTGAAGATCTTTGCCATAGACGGCGCCTGAGACTGCGTGTTCGCAAGAGCCAAGAATTTGAAACCATGTCGATGCCATACTTGTGCTTAGCCACGTCTCCGAGGTCGTTCCGCGTAGTGGGCACCTTACCTTGAAACCACCGTCGTTGGGAGTCTCGGAGATGGTGCATGAGAAAGTCACTGTGCCCTTCGAGCCACGAGATGGGGGCGCCCAGGTCGGTCATCAGGATGTCGAAAGATGGCCAGCGCCAGTTGAGCTGGTTGGGCATATTGACGAAAGTTCGCACTGGACCAGGGTAGGCAGCGTCTGCATCTTGGATATGATCACGAAGGTCACGCACGTAGTCACGCAGCTGCGGCACCCGCAGAGCCTGACGTCGTAGCGAAAGGGTGACTTCTCCCTGGCTGATCGCGACGGGGTCAAGGAGGTGGCCGTTCAGCACGACGCTCAGCAAAATCCACAGGCAGGTCCACTGCCGTCCCTTTGGCATGATGGTCGCGAACATGGCGTGGTAGTAATCCCACAGCTGTCGGTTGGAGGGCGTACCGAGGTCGGATCCCACAGCAACCATGGGTGCCGCCATCGTCTGCGCGATGTCGGCACGCTTGTGTAGAGGGAGGGGGAGCCGTTGAGCACGTTGAAGTCGTTGAGCTGCAGCAACAAAGTGGCGGTCCATGAGGCTGGTGTCATCACCTCCGCGGGTGGCGATCTGGCTGCCCACAAGACGGAAGGCGCGCTTAACGGGCAGGTTGTGGCCACAGACCGTGGCGTCGGCGAGCTCAGTGGTCAAGTCCTCGTCGGTGGCCCAGGCGACCAGCTTCCCAAGGTGTAGTTCCTGACCAGAAAGTTTATCAAACAGAAGCGATTCGCGAAGCGATTCACGAATCCCAGCCATGCCCCACACCGTTGAGTTGGAATCGTCGATATACGTTATGGAAAGAGATCTCGGTATTACTCTGCGTTGTCTCGCCGTCCATACATACATGAGCATCTTAATGTCATCAATGCTGAAAGCAGATCCTTGTAGGTGGCCATTCGTGGTGGCCATGGCGTCGCTGTAAGTTCCAGACATTCGCAAGTGCCCCCGATGCTGGGCGTAAAATTGTTCACGAACTCGAAGCACACTCTCGGGGCACCCTGCATGTCGTTGTAGTTCGGTGCATATACTTGTCATCAGCAGGTCGAAGCACTTCTTTCTGTCGAGAGCGAGACCGTGGACCCAGTTCCCGGCGTGACGGGACCACTCGACCTGAAGGGCAAGACCGGTGGAAACATCCGAGAGGCGAGCCCCCGACGTGGCCCCAAAACTCGCGGGGTGAGTCCACTTGCGCCTCCAAGAGTCGAGCTTTCGGTAGATCGGGACTTCCCAAGCATAAAGCCACACAGACAGAACGGAAAGAAGCCTTTGCTCTTCAGGAAAAATCCCCCCCCCCCCCCCCCCCCCCCCCTTCCTCAAGGCGGGATTCGGAACATATTTGAAAGCCGAGGGGACCTGACCCGAATTCTGCATCGATCGAAGAACCTCGGCAAAGACTGCTTGGATGGCTGCGGGCAGGGCTTTGGCCTCCACCGTCGCCCATCCGTCAAGACCCCCCGCCTTGCGAGAGGAGCGCGCCTGGAGAAAAGCGTTGACATCAGCATCACTAAGTAAAGGCTCAGGACAGGGGCTCACAAGGGGGCAGCTCAGAGGCTCAATGCCCAGAGAGGGGGAGAGGGGAGAGGGGAAGAGGAGGAGAAGGAAGAGGGGAAGGAGGAGAAGGAAAAGAGGGAGGGGGACGAGGAGCGGGCGGCGCGCGGGAAGCAGAATGACCAGGAGGCGATGATGCAACGCAGGCATGAGGGGACCCCCTGTGCTCAGCACGCTTGGCTCTAAGCTCTGGACAAGAGGAAGAGCACAAAAAGAGGGAGGGAAGCACGAGGGCGCCTAGCCCTGCAGGTCGGACCAGGCCTGTAGCTCCCTTCGTGCCGCCTCGACCTGACGGGGCGATGGAGCCTGCGGTCGCTCTGGAAAGAGAAAGCAGCGGGGCGGGCCCTGGTTGGCCCACGGCGCCGCGCGAGCATGCCTCCGTTCGGCTCGGACGCGCCGTGCCGCGGCACGATTGGCCTCGATCCTGGCCCTTTGGGAGGAAGAGAGGGGAAGGGGGGCAGGGGGCGGAGGCAGGGGCGGAGGCGGGGGAGGGGGGGGAAGAAAGGGCCAGGTCGCAGCTTGCTCTTCAGGGGAGCCGAGCAGAAAAAAATCTGCAACTCGCTGCTCTTCAGGATCCTGTTCAGAATGACCCTGGGCAGGCGGGGTAGTATCCGAAACCTCTGGCCCTTCAGAGTCAGAAGAGTCGAAACGTGAAAGCTCTGGGTCCGTGCGCCTAGACACCCGGCTTGCCCTGCCTTGGACTCCTGCAAAATCGGGGGCAGGGGCAGGGGGTTCTGGCGCATCTCGCTGCATGGCAGCATAGAAAGCGATGAGCCCATCACGAATTTCTTCCGAAACCTGAGAGTACTGAAATACTGGCTCCTCGCACGAGGAATCGATTAGAGTGCTTGTGCTACCAACAATATTTTCAGCAAGAGCCTTACAAAGGCCACTAGGGTAGGCCTTCTTAGAGGCCGTGTGAAAAACTCCGTCATCTCGCTTGCCGAGCAGCGTCCTGTGAACACCTCTGCCGTGCGAGCACTTCCCGTTGCCTGGAGTGGAACGCAACCTGGACGGCAAACATGGCATGCGCACAGATAAAATACAGGCGGGAGCCCGTCCGTGTGGTGTGTAGTGGGACAGGCGGTGGGGTCTTGATGCTGACACTGGTCGAATTCCGTGAGATTAGAACACGGGGCAGCGGCAAGGGCCTGCATGGGGCGCCACCTGAAAGACGTGGGAGCCCCAGGAGCCCAAAGAGCGGGGGTTGGGTGCTCAAGCCAGCCTCCAGTGCCAGCTCTGAGGTGCTCAGCTAGGAGCCTAACCAAAGCAAATAACAACACGGAGCCTATCCTAACCTGCTCAGACTGTCTCCACGAAATCCAAGGCATACCCCAGACATATTCCATAGACCTGAGGGGGGGAGGCCCGCCTTCGGTCCACCTGGCAGCAGACCAGGTTTCGCAAGGTGGACCTCCCCCCGAGTTAATAACTCTGTGACACCTCACGTGCTCAATCCATTCCAGGATGGTACTTTCCCGAGACAGGTCCCCACGTACGTTGTCAATAGCAATGTCCACGCTGAGCACGACAATTTCAATGGCAGGCTTGGCAATCGAAAACTCTATGTGCCATTGAACATCCTCCCGTCTGCGGTGTCCACAGAAGAGGTTGAGCACGAACAGCGTGCTGCGAACGATGCGGAGGGGTATGGAATCCGAAGCCACTCCAGTGTATGAACCTGGATCAAAGAGGTAGAAGGGAGGTTCACGTACCTGATCCTTTCTTGGAGGCACATCCTGGAAAATGGCCTGGAACTCCTCTCGCTTTTCTTGCGGGATGGCATAGTCGGATTCCAACAGAACTGCTTGTGCTTCTTGCTGGCTGAGGTCACTCACCAGCTCGTGGTTGGGCAAGCGCACACTTGCGACTCAACTTGCTGAGGCGTCCGTGCGCCATCTGCCAAATCCAGCCCGACGTTGCTCTAGCAGTCTCTGGGCCTCTTGCTCGTTCAACTGGGCAGCTTCGCTGAATGAGCACTTAGAACCACCTACAATAGAGGAGGAGGAGGGGGGCGGACGAGGAGCGACGGCACCTTCGTCATCCAGCCCCAACTGCTCGCAGGACAAGACCGGGGGAAGCGACCAGATCCCATGCAGAGAGGGCGTCACTCTGTTCTCAAGTTCCTGCCTGGCTCAAGTTGTGGCGCCCGGGCACTCTCACCTCAGCAAAGCTCGACATCGGCACGCAGACCCCACGCCTGGGCGCGCGCGCGCGCACGCGGCACAAAGGGTGTCGTGGCGGCTTTGGGAAGGAAGGGCACGAGGAACAGAAGAAGAGCGGCGGAAAAGCCCGATGAAAGGTCCCCTTTCCTCTTCCCCATCCCCCGTCCTACTATTGTTTGTGCGTTCCTCCTCCTCCTCCTCCTCCTCCTCCTCCTCCTCCTCCTCCTCCTCCTGCTCACCATTCTCATCGTGATCATCATCGTCATCATCATCATCAGCAGCAGCATCATCAGCATCATCAGCAGCAGCAGCATCATCAACATCATCATCACCACCAGCATACTATCTTCAATGGAAACATCTTATCCCCGAAAAAAACACGGGCAACCCCCTGGACGACCCGGACAACCCCTCCAAGATGAATACCATAAGCGTCCCAGCATGTGATTGTGACTGGCGCTCGAACGGCAGCACAGTACCCACTTAGGGATGTGGCCGGCGCTCAGGCGAGAGCACCACGCCTCATGGTGAGGGATGTGGCTGGCGCGAAGGCGACAGCACCAATCCCAGACGGGGATGTAGCCAGAGCTCGGGCGAGAGCACCGATCCCAATCACGGATGTTGCTGGTACTCGAGCGGCAACACCATACGTACCCGATAAAGGCTGTGGCTGGCGTTGAGGCGAGAGTAGTTACCATTCCCGATCAGGGACGTGGCCAGCGCGCAGTGTTGCGAGGATGTCTGAGGCGGAACTGGCCAGATCAGCTCTCGCGCGGCATCTCCGAACCCAGAGTTGTGAAGATGTCTCGTGTGAAATTGCCTGGAACACCTCTGGTCAGGGCACCTCTGAGCCCAGAGTTGCGAGGATGTCTCAGGCGGAACTTGCCAGACAACTTCGTGCGCGGCATCCTTGAGCCCAACCAACATCTGCAGGAAGTCTCATGCGAAACTGGCCAGACCACCTCAGGTCAGAGTAAATCGGAGCCCAGGAAGTTGCGAGGATGTCTCATGCAAAACTGCCTGAACAACCTCGTGCGCGGTATGTCGCAAACGAACCTGGCTGGACCACCACAGGTCAAAGCATAGGAGCCGGCAGATGCGAGGATACCTCAGACGGAACTGGTTGGAGCACCTCGCATGCACCATCTCTGATCCCAGAGCTGCGAGGACGTCTCAAGCGAAACTGGCCACACCATCTTTCGCGCGGCATCTGACGATCATTCAACAGGAACAGTCCGCACCACCTCCAGTCAGGGCATATTGGAGCCCAGACTTGCGAGGACGTCTCAAGCGATACTGGCTTGAAAACGTCGCGCGCGGCATCTCTGAACCCATAGTTGCGAGGATGTCTCATGCGACGCTGGCCAGGCCACTGCGAATCCGCCGACCCCTCGTGGGTCCATAGGCGCGTGAACCCCCCCCCCTAACCCCCCCCCCGTGGGCCCCCCAACCGGAAATGCGACGCCCCCCCTGACCCGGCACGAACGCGGCATGGAGGGATAGAGGGCCCCGCAACGACTCCAGAGGGCCCCGAGACGCACTCACGACGGTCCAAGTGGGCCCCGAGTCGCTGAAAGATCGTTCCTAGCCTTCGAGACTGCCCCCAGACGGCCCAAGATGCTCCCAAGACGCCCCAGAAAGGCTCCAAGGAGGCCTCCCAACATAGCCACCGCAGACACGAACCGCTCAACTCCCTCGGGGAAACGCACGCCTTTGGCACGCACGACTCCT